AGAAGAAGAAGAAGAAGAAGAAGAAGAAGAAGAAGAAGAAGAAGAAGAAGAAGAAGAAGAAGAAGAAGAAGAAGAAGAGAAATTCTAAGATTGGCTTAGGACAATCAGCCATTAGATTTGAATGAGAGAGGGTGCAGTGGGTGTCTCCACATGAGACTGAAGGATTCAGCCCAAGGTCTGGAGCTCACAGCAGTGTTCTGTGCAGGTCCTTATCAGGAGACCGATGGATCCGTGACAGAAAGCTGATGAGTCTATACCAGAAGGCTGAAGGATCCAAGGCACAGGCCAAAGAGTCGGCACTAGAAGCCAGGACAATGTCTAAGCTGACTGCGAAGACCAAAAATGGGAGCTCCTCTGAGGAAATGGAATGTTCCATCCTTTCTCAATTCCTTTTTATATATCCTTTAAGTGACGAGCCACTCTAGGATGGGGCCTCCACCTTAGGGTGTGGAATTGCTGAGCTGATTTAGTTAAGCTTTTAACTTTTCAAGTTGACACAATCGATCAACCACTATAGATACCATCCCATGGCTTTCACCACAGACCCTTCAGGTTCCAGCATAGACCCTTCAGCCTCCTGATATGGACTTGAAAGGGAGAGTGCAGTGAGCTCCAGCCCCCCTGGGATGCTTAAAACTATACTTAATAGGAGATTCTTATGGTCAGAGTTCAGAAGACCAGAATACTGATAGAAACCTGCCCAGTAAAGGGCAGGTTCAAGGGACTGGGAAGATGGCTCAGTAGAATAAGCGCTTGCCTGACAAGTGCAAGGGCCTGAGCTCAATCAGTGGCTCCGGGGGTGGGGGGAGAGAAGACCAAGTTCAAGGTTTTAGTTAGAAACAAGAACTTCATTGGGACTCCAGACCATGTGCCTTGTCCTTTGGTAGCAAATCTGTATGCATTTTGCTTATGTCCAAAAATTTTGCCTGAGACTGAGATTAAAGGCAGAGGACCAATTAATCTTATGGAAGAAATTTCAAAACAGTCTAATGTTGCGGGACATGGTGGTGCATGCTTGTAACCCTAGCACTTGGGAGGCTGAGGCAGGAGGATCACCACAAGTCTGAGGCCCACCTGGGTACATTGTGAGTTCAAGGATAGCCTGAACTACATAGCAAGAACCTGTCTCCAAAGAAGTCTAATGTTGTATTTTTATTTGTTGGAGGAAGGTGCCACTCAGGATAAGAAGTCTAATGTTGGGCTGGTGAGATGGCTCAGTGGTCTAAAGCACCTACTTAGAACAAGCTAAGCAAAAGCACAGGGACCGCAGTTCAATCCCCCAGCACCATATGCCAGCCAGTCCCGCCCCCTGGTGGACTGAGCTGGCCACGCACACAAATAAATAAATAAATAAAATGTTAAAAAAAAAAAAGAAGTCTAATGTTAATGTAGTGGTTCAGCTATTGTTAGGAGCTTTTATAGCTAGATCTGTGTTAAGAATCAAGAACAAAGGGAGGGGCCGGGGAGATGGCTCAGTGGAATAAGTCCTTCCCTGGCAAGTGCAAGGGCCTGAGTTCAATCCCCGGTTCTGAAAAAAACAAAGAACAAAGGGAACAGCAGAATGATTGAAAACATTTTAAGTTTGGCCAGAAAGCAAGTTCTAATAAAGC